AATTCTTCTAAGCATCCAGAGAAGAGCTGACACCAATTCTACTACAGTGAATTACCAATTAAACTATTTCAGAAGATCGAAAAGGATGTTATCTTCCCAAATTCATTTTATGAGGTGACCATAACCTTAATATCAAAGCCAGGCAAAAGACACCACTTAAAAAGAAAATTATAGACCAATATCCCTCACAAACATGAACATACATGCAAAAAATCTCAGTAAAATTTTAGCCAATAGACTCCAACAATTTAGCAAAAAAAATAATATACCATGACCAAGTGGGATTCACACCATGTATGCAAGGATAGCTCAACATTAGAACGTAATCCATCAGGTAAGTAAAATAAAGGAAAAGAACCACATGATCATATCAATAGGGCTTAGGAATAAATTTAACCCGCGACACAAAATACCTAGACAAAGAAAAATTTTAAAACACTGTTACAAGAAACCAAAAGAGACCTATACAAATGGAAGAAGAATATACCATACTCATGGATAGGAAGATTTAACATCATGAAAATGTCAATACTACCCTAAGCAATCTATAGACATAAACAAGATCTATCCAGATTCCATCATCTTTCTTCTAAGAGATGGGAAAACTAATCACTAACTTTATATGGAAAGGAAAGAGACCTTGGATAAGCAAGCACTACTAAAGAAGATGACCAATGTAGGAGGCTGCACACTCCCCAATCTCAAAACTTACTATCCAGCCACAGTGGTTAAAACAGCCTGGTTCTGGCACAAGGACAGACACATACACAAATTTGAACAGATTCAAGAATCCAGAACTAAATCCATCGACTTATGGATAGTTGATCTTTCACAAAGGGCCAAAATTCATTAAATGGTGCTGCCAAAGCCGGATATCCATTTGCAGAAAAATGAAATAGGACCATGTCACACCATATATAAAAATGAACTCAAGTTGGATCAAAGACTTGAACATAAAACCTAAAACCATGAAGATCAAGTAAAACATAGGGGCAAACTTAGGGGACCTAATTCAAGGCATAAATGCACTACCAAACATAACTAAAAATGCACAAACAGCACAAGACAAGAGAGATGACTGGGACCTCCGAAAAGTTTGACATTTAAGCACATTAAAAGATTTCACAAAAGAGTGAAAATAGAACCCACAGATGAGGGGGGGGGTGGTGAGGATTGGCAGCTGTCTTCTTTAAGTACAGCCCAGAGATTGGAGAATACATGCTGGAAGATAAGATACTCAGTTTCATAATTAAACATTCAATGCTGCTTTCATTACCTATCCAGGGTGGCCTGGGCTTGGCGGTGTTGAAAAGGTGATCCGTGAACTCTACAAACACAGTCTTTTTGAACAGGACTGAGGTGTTGGATGGGAAAGATTTTGGCACTCTAGAAGGCAATCTGTGTAAAGAAAGGAAAAATTTATTCACTTTGGTGGACCTTCCTCTTAACTACTTTAAAAACCAGCTGCAAGTAATGTTTCCATCCCACTCTCCTTGGCTGTTAACCAGGCAAATCAGAGATGGTATATGGATCCTGTCTTAGTGCCTTGGGGCCATCACAGCAAAATACCACAAGTGGTATTGTTGATTCGTCCTGAGAGTTTTGAGAGAGACACTGTCCCAGGAGAGTTCCTAGCTTCCAAAGGCTGGTGCCGTGGCCCGTTCCTGTGTCTGTTCTCCCATTTTGTAAGACGCCACTCAGAAAGGAATCAGACTACAGTGGCATGACTTAACAGATAACGTCTTCCAAGACCCTATTTCCCCAAATAAGGTCACAGTCACAGGTATAGGGGTTAGATCTTCAACATGGCTTTTGGGGGAACACCGTTCAGTCCCTAACAGGTCCCCAACATCTTTCTAACCAAAATACTGTTTTCACAAGTCAGCTGGTACTAGAGGTGCCGTATCGTAAGATAAATCATAAAAGCAATACCCACACTCTGCATCAGCCAAACTAGCCTTTGCCAAAGCAATAACTACAGCACCCTGCAATTTCCTCTCTAAGACTATAAGTCTTATCTCCATATCTTGCTTTAAAATTTGATCAGTATGTACCAAAAATTACACTTCCTTTCTTAGGAAAACTACCAGGAAAATTACCTTCCAACGAGGACTGTGTATATTAAGAAATCATATGCATGTTCCCAAAATATTTTTTGCCTCAGTTATCAAAACCTCTTTACGCGAAGACTGGTGCTGACCCTTTGCCTTGCTCCGACCTGCTAAAGCTAGGAGTATGGGAATCCAGGTCTGCTGCCTCCGAGGCCAGCGTTCCGGTCTAGACCCTAAAC